ATAAGCTGCCTGACATGGGTGCTGGAAACCAAACTCACATCCTCTGGAAGAGCAACAAGTGCTCTTAACACTGAGCTCCACAACTTTGTTTAAAACAACAACAACAACAACAACAACAGAAAACCTTTTAATTACACTTATTTGTATGCATGTGTAGGCATGCACATGCTTTGGCATGAATATGGAGGTCAGAGGATAACTTGAGGGAATCGGTTCTCTCCTTCTACCATATGGGACCTGGGGATTGAATTCAGGATGTCAGCACTGGTTGCAAGTGCTTTCCTGTTGAGCCTTTTCACCCCAACAACTCTAGTAATTTTGAAGAGGATCAGACAATTATTTTATGTACTGTATCTCAATGTGGGTTGTGTGATTTCTCAGACTAAACTTGCTCAGTTTTGGCAGGAGTACCCAAAGTGTGACGGCTACATCCTTTTCTGTACCATTATGAGAAGGCACCCAGTGTCCATCTGTCCAGGTACTGTTGAGATGTCTGTGCCAGATTTCCACATAGATTTCCCCTTTTGTAATAGGTATTCATAAAGACATTTAGAGGCTATATGAAATACTTTTTTTTTGGGGGGGGGTGTTCTTTTTGAGATCGGGTCTCCCTGTAGCCCCAGCTGGCCTGGAATGCACTATGTAGACCAGGTTGTCCTTGAACTCACCATGGCCGGCATAAAATACCTATTTGTCATCAACTTTTACCCAACAATTTTTTATCCATTAACGATTCTTTTCTGTATCAATCATTATTGTGGATATTGACAAATGATATTTAAAATTTAATATTATCAGCCGGTGTGGTGGCACATACCTTTAATCCCAGCACTCAGAAGGCAGAGGCAGGCAGACCAATATGAGTTCAAGTCCAGACTGGTTTACCCTTTATATGCATGTCTATGTGCTCCTATGTGGGAGCATATGTGTGCACGTGTATGGAGGCCAGAAGTTGACATCAGGTGGTCTCCTCAATGGCTCTCCACCTTCTTTCTCTTTCTGTTTTCAGACAGGGTGTCCCTGTAGTCCCAGCTGGCCTGGATCTCACAGATCACAGAGTACTGCCCTCCCTAGTACTGAGAAGGCATGTGTCACCACACCCAGCTATCAACACTATACTACTGAGCTACATCGTTTTAGGCAGGATCTTGCCCAGGCTCTGAACTCAATCTGTAGCCCAGGCAGCACTGGTAGTGCTGAGGTTAAAGGTGTGTACCACCACAACTGGTTCACCTTATTTCTTGAGATAGGGTCTCTCATTGAACCTGGAGCTTGTTGATTCATCTTGACTGGCTGGCTAGTGAGCCCCAGGAACCTGCCTGTCCCATTCTCCCTAGCAATGGAATCACAAGCATGGCTTTTTTCCAGGGATGCTACAGATCAAACTCAGGTTTTACAGTATGCACTTTTACAGACTAAGCTATTTCCCTAGCCCCTTGTTCTGTTCTGTTGTTTTTGTGGTACTTGGGGATCAAATTCAGGGCCTTGTACATGCTATGCAAGCATTCTATTACTGAGTTACACCCCTGTATGAGAGTTTACTTATATTTGTTGGAGAAAAACAATGTTACTCTTCCTTATTCTCCTATATTCAAACCCTCTAGACTATCCTATATGCAAACTAAGCTCCAGTTTATCCTTTCTGTATTTTCTTTTGAATTAGTAAGCAGATAAAGACACATTTTATTTCCATGTAGTTTCTATTCTAAATGTCAAGTATACATACACAGATACAGATTTGTGTTTTGCTTATTTATCAAGAAGAGCTCTTATTATGCTGTTATCTAGGTTGGCTTCAAATTCCTAGGCTCATCCTTAATCTTCCTGTCTCACCCTGCAGAACAGCTTGGACTATAGGTGCACTGCTTGTGTACTTTACTTTTTTCACTTACTATATCCTAGAGGATGTGAGATGGCTCGGCAGGTAAAAGTGCTTGCCCCTCAAGCCTGATGACCTGAGTTCAACCCCTGAAACCCATGGTAGGCATGGAAGGGAGGCCCACAAAGTTGTCCTTTGACCTCCATGTGCTTGCCATGGCATATGCACTGTGTCATTTACCTGCCCATATGCTCAGTCATCCCACCCCCTCCCATACTAAGAGAGTTAAAAAAATATCCTGGATTATTTCATATCAGGAAGATAGCATCTTTGTTCTCTCTTACAGCAGCATGGTACTCCACTGTGTGGAAGGTCCCATAAGCTACTTGGCCAACTTCCTAGGAGTGGAAATTTGAGTGTTTTTCTTATGTTTTACAGTTAGCAATAATGCTGCAATGAATAACCTTATTTAGCACTTTAGTTTTTTAGCTGGTTAGGAGTGGTGGCGCACACTTTTAATCCCAGCATTTGGGAGGCAGAGGCAAACTTCTGTGAGTTCAAGGCCAGTCAGGGCTATATAGTGAGACCCTGTCTCAAAAATAAAAGGGGAGGGGGCTGGAGAGATGGCTCAGTCATTAAGAACACTGGTTGTTCTTGCAGAAGACCAGGGTACGAATCCCAGCACCCACATGGCAGCTAACAACTGTCTAACTCTAGTTCCAGGGGCTCTAATAGCCTCTTCTGTCCTCCATGCGCATTGCAGGACATGGGTGCACTGACCTACATGCAGGTAATACACGCATACACATAAAATAAAAAATAATAAAATATTTTAAAAAATTATCTGAAACATAGAAATACATAAAAGTATGCAAATCATAAAATATGAAAGTTACTGAGTCTTTACAAGTTGAACATGCCTGAGAAGCCAGCAGTTTATGAGCAGCACCTTCTAGGCTGCCATACAAAGGGTAGTGCCAGCCTGACTTCCCTCACAGGCTAGTTTGTGCTGGCTTTTGAGCTTTGAAGAAACGAGTCATACATTATTAATTCTCTTGTGTCTGACTTTGTTCAAATTGTATTTGTGAGATTGACTTCTTTCTTTCTCATTGATCCACATTTATTGATCCATTCTAATGGGTATCTGCAGTTTCTGATTTAAATTTTAATCTATTTTTGTTGTTGTATTCAGTTTGATTCTGAGTGGCAACAGAGAATGAACATTCCAGTAAGTATCTTTTGCTAAATACATGTTCACTTATCTGCATATATTTAGAAGCAAAATTGCCTAGTCATAGTGTTCTGATTTAATTTCTAATCGATATGGTAATTCCACAAGAGCTTTGGGAAAATCAACTGATTTCACTTTCTTAGGAAAGATGCCTATCACAAATGGCATTGAGTACTACAAGATGATCACTGAGCACCACATCTTCATTGCCATCTTGTTACACAGCCTCTTGAACTGTGTGATCTACACTTCTGGATAGTTATTAGTCAAGGGAAAGGAATCTTTTTACTAGAATGATTGACTGACAGCAGACAACTATCAGGAAAGTAAAAATAAATTATAATGCTGCTAAGCTTGGTGGCATATATCTGCAATCTCAGCACTTAGGAAGCTGAGGTGGGAAGATTGTGGCTTCAAAGCCAGCCTGGGTAGCACAGCAAGCCAAGCGGCTAGAGATGTAGCTCAGTGGCAGACAGCTTACCTAGGTTATGCAAAGTCATGGATTATTCCATTACCAGCAAAACACACGCACACACACACACACAAAATGATGGATGGCTAAAAGGATGTGCAAAAACGTAGGTGAAGGTGATTTATTCTCTGTTCAAGTAGATAGAAATTATCATTTATGGCAGATTGGGACGTACTAATGTGGCAATTAGGATAAAAAGACAAATGTTTAAGGGTTATGGATAGGGGTTTTACTAGAAACAAAGTCTCCGAGAATGAAAAGGCAAGAGCAATCTAAATTCATAGCAATAATTTAATTCTTTCTTGGTAGTAAGAGCTTCAAATTTCAGGTGACTGTTTATCCTAGAAATATAATCATTTGTGAATGAGAAATTCCAAATAATCCTGTGATTTATGTACCTGAAATCCAACAATTCATAGCTCTAAGATAAAGTTTAAAGGAGGAATAATAAAAACTATATGCAGAACATTTCTGAGAAAATATATATATTGTTAAAAGAAAAAGACAAGGTTAAGTAACCCAAAATATTGTTCCTAGGGTAGTAGAATTGAGTGTCTGTTTTCCCAGGCATGGTAGTATATGCCTGTAATTCTAGTACTTGGGTTAGAGGAGGCTGATGCAGAAGGATTGCAGAGTTCAAGGCTAGCCTAGGCTATGTATCAAGATCCTATCTGAAAAAAAAAGTGGAGGGGGTGGGACTAGAGAGAGAGCATAGTTGAAGTGCTTGCAAGCACAAACACCTGACTCCATTCCCAGCACCCACATAAAAAGCAGGCATGGTGGTACCTGCTTGTTATCCCAATGTTGGGGAGACAGATACAGGATCCGTATCTGTGGATCCTTGAGGCTCAGTGGCCAGCCAGCCTATCCTAATCAGCAAGCCCTGGGCTGGGTCCCAGTGAAAGACCCTGCTTGATAAAACAAGGTGGATAGCTCCTGAGGAATGACTCCAGAGACTGACCTCTGGCCTCCACTCCCGCCCTTACACCCCCACCCCCCACCCCACCCCCCAAAAAAGAGTAAGCCAGGTGTGGTATTTCACACCTTTAATCCAAGCACTCCGGATGCAGAGGCAGGCAGATCTGAGATTGAGGCCAGCCTGATCTATATGGTGAGTTCCAGGTCAGCTGGGGTGATGGGGAGACCCTGTCTCAAAAAACCAAAACAAAACCTTCAACCCTCAAAAAACAAAACAAAACAAAAAACAGTGTAATTATTTTTCTGAATTTAAAAGTTGGGGGCTTTTTAAGAGCTATACCATTTGTAAGTTTGTAATTGAGGACTGATAGCTTACTGAATATGAAACACTAACACCGATGCTGTGAGGAATGAAAATACCTACATATAAAATATAGTTTTACCAAAGGATGTTATAAAGATACTGGCTTAATCTAGAGTCTCTAAAATGTGAAGGCAAAAGTATCACCTTTCAAATAAAAAAACAAAAACACGAAAGGGAATGAATACAAATTACTTACCTCATAGCAATACTGCTGAACTTTATGCAAAACTTTGTTTAGGTCCTTGTTCAACTGTTCAAGCTCTAGAACAATTGTTGCATATCTTCGCTGAAATTCAATGCTAATGGGCATAGAATAGGATTTCTGAGAAGAAAAATACCAGATTTTGATAAGGTTTTGCTTTGTTAACAATGCCAATGTCATGCGCTAAAAGAGCTCTACAAGTAACAGGTTATTACATGTGCCTATGCCCAACGTACAGTTCTTGAGTGTGATAATGGCTTTAATATTTAGGAAATTGTCCTTGTTCTGTATGGGTCTATACATGTGAGTGCTGTTAACTATAGAGGCCAGAGGCATTGGATCCCCCTGGGGCTGGAGTTACAGGTGGTTGTGAGCTGTCCAATGTGGGTGCTGGGAACTGAACTTGGGTCCTCTGCAAGAGCGATACTTTGAACCATCTTTCCAGTCCCCACCTACTTTCTAAAATGGAGAGTTTATATACAGAGAACTTAAATGAGCAAATGGTTGCCGGGCAGGGTAGTGCACACCTTTAATTCCAGCACTTAGAAAGCAGAGGCAGGCGGATCTTTGTTGAATTCAAGGCCGGGCTGGTCTACATAGTGAGTTCCAGGCCAGCTGGGACTACAGCTGTCTGAAAAAGAGCAAAAAAAAAAGGAGTAAAATGTTAATTAATCTACATATATACTTCTTAGTCATTCAACTTCTCAAGTTTTTGTTATTTTTCAAAATACAAAGCTGTCTGAATGCCTTTGAATCATTCCAGCTATTTCTCTAACCTGGAATCAAGCCAAAATAGCATAATTTAAGAACACAAGTGACAGAATCAGACTCCATCAGCTACTATGTAAGGAAGTTCCTTAAGCCCTCCACATCTGTTTCCAGAGAGAGAGAGGGAGAGAGGGAGAGGGAGAGAGGGAGAGAGAGGGAGAGAGAGGGAGAGAGAGGGAGAGAAGTTCATGAAGAAAATGAAAAATAAGTCAAAACTTTATAGTAGATTTTGGTGTGTATGTATGTGAGAGAGAGAGAGAGAGAGAGAGAGAGAGAGAGAGAGAGAGGATGGAGAGGGGGGAGAGAGGGAAGAATGAACAGAGAAAGGTCACCTTTTTTTCCTTCAGTTCTGAGAAATTTTCTATAACTTTTTTTTTTTTGGCTGTGCTGGGGATTGAACCTAAGGCCTCACACATGGTAGGGAAGTAGTCTACCACTGAAGCTAAATCTCTAGTTCTAAAATTTTGATAACTCTCCCTCTATTCTCCTTTGTGATGTATTTTATTAGGTAAATGTTCAACTATTTGTTTGAGAGAGTCCAAATATGTAGCCCAGGCTCATGTTCTTCCTGCCTCAGCCTCCAAGTGCTAGGATTACAGGCATGCACTACTAAGCCTAGCTTTCATATTTAGTCTGTTGTCTGTCTCTGTCTCTCTGCTTTTGAGGCAGGGTCTCATGTAGCTCAGGCTGGCCTCAAACTTGGTATGTAGTCGAGGATGATCTTGGTTTCCTGATTCTCCTGCCTCCATCTCCCAAGCATTAGGACTACAGTTAAAGGAATGCACAACTACCACACCCAGCTATCAGGCTGACTGTGGCACTGCTGTGTTCAAGACCCTTATATAGTAGCCTGAAGCTACATCACAATGCCAACATGGGCAGCTCTCACACTCCGCTCCACCTCACTTCACTTCATCCTGTGGGCAATTTTTTCTCTTATCATTACTAGAAGGAGATCTGTAAATAAGATATTTAGAGACTGAGCCTCACTGGGAATCCAACAGATTGGGCTAGGTTGGCTATTTTTGTGCTGGAATTACAAGTGCATACCACCATGGCTGACTTTTTTAAAAAAATATGTATTTCTTTTTATTATTTACGCGTATGTGTGTATGTCTATGCGAGTGTATGCCACGTGTGCCCCCAAAGAGGCCAGAAGAGGCCATCAGATCCCTTGGACCTGGGGTTATGGGCAGGTGTGAGTCCCCTTTAGTAGGTGCTGGAAACTGAACTCAGGTCCTCTGAAAAAGCAGCAAGTGCTCTTAACTACTGAGCCATCTCTATAGCCCCATGACTGGCCTTTTATGTGGGTGCTAGGGATCAGCCTCAAATCTTCATGACTTGTCTTGCAAGCACTTTATTATTTTATGTGTACTGCCTGCGTATACGCAGGTACACTCATGTCATGTAATGCCCGTAGAGGTCAAAAAAGGGTATCAGATCCCCTGGAACTGGAGTTACAGATGGTTGTTAGCTACCATGTGGGTGCTTAGGAACTGAACCTAGGTCCTCTGGAAGAGCAGCCAGTACTCTTAAATGCTGAGCCATATCTCTAGCCCCTCGATAGTTTTTCTTTTTAAAAAAAAATATTTTATTTATTATTTTTATTTTATGTGTATGAGTGTATTGCCTACACATATGTGAGGGCACCCGTGTCGTGCAATGCTGCGGAGGTCAGAAGAGGGCTTCAGAGTCCCCTGGAACTGGAGTTAAGGACAGTTCATAGCTGCCATGTGGGTGCTGGGAATTGAACCCAGGTCCTCTACAAGAGCAGTCAGTGCTCTTAACCACTGAGCCATCGCTCCAGCCCCCGCCCCTCAATAGTTTTTCACTGTTATTTTTTTGGTCGTTTTGAGACAGGGTCTCCCTGTAGCCTCAGCTGGCCTGGAACTCACTATATAGACCAGGCTGGCCTCGAACTCATAGAGATCCACCTGCATCTGCCTCCTGAGTGCTGGGACTAAAGGCATGTGCCACCAGCTTAAAGGCCTAAAAACCACATCAATGACCAGCATAGCAAACGACATTGGTGCAATAGTGGTACTTTTATCTTGGGGGTAATCAACAGCTACCTAACTGGACTTAAAGCCCATTCAATGGGAGGAAATTCATGTTTGGTACTGTAAACCTAGCCAAATACACATAGCTGGAGAGGGCATAGATCTTAAGAGAAAACTCCGAGACTGTCACATCTCTAAACAAATATAATTTCTTACTATGTGCAAAATATGAATCCTTAAATGTATAGACAAGTATCCCAATCACCACCCATCAAAAGAAGCTTCTTTATCAAGAGGCAGAGATAAGTACAGAGTTCTACAACTGGCTACACACAGAGATTGTCTGTGGACTACCCAAGCCTAAGTGGCACATCTAGGATGCAACCTCTACACCTAAGGCTCACAGAACATAAAACAAGGGATGAAGAGAACACTAATGCATCTTTCAGTTCTCTTCAATGAAGCTCCCTCATGCAGCAAAAGGCCAGGAACACAAGGGACCACAGATGGCCAGAGCAGAGAATCAGAGTCTGCAGAGTGTTGGTCCTTGGATACAACTCCTATATTGAGGTCCACCCACCCAGGGCTCAGGACCATTGTGGAAGATTGTAAGAGCCAGGGAGGAGGTCCATGACCATACAGAACTGGTCCTACAGGCACCTGGGACCCTTCTCATACAAACCTACAGCAATGGTATCACCATGCACAGAACCCATGCAAACTTAGGCAGACAAAAACCCAGCACAGAATTGTGGAAATGAACAGCAAGCCCTAACCTTGGTCGAAGAATTACTGGCAGCCGATTACTGCTGCATGAGGAAGAGTTGATCTTGAAGGGAGAGATTCTAGATAGGCTGATTAAACCCCGGTGAACGAACCTGCACTTGAGGGACATCTGGGGACACTAACTTTACATAATAGGCCTTAACACAAATGACAGAATGCATGAACTCCTGTGGGGATCTACGGGAAGTTGCCAAAGGAGAAAGGGACAGGGGCATAAAGATGATTTTCTGTATAAAATAGACAAAAATTCAATAAAAAATTAAAACAAAAACAAAAACAAAACAATAAAAAAAACTTCTGTCATTACAACTTCCTTGGATACATTAGTCTTAGGAATTCTACCCTCATGCAAACTGTCAAAGAAGCTAATCTTTCCATTAATCCTATGCAACTATGGAGTCAGTAGTATGATGGGTAGGCACTGCAGTGTACAGCTGAATTATTAGCATATATTTAATATAGTAAGAAACAGTGAAACCAAATGATGATTTAAAAGTAGTATTTATTGCTGGGCATGGTAGCACACACCTTTAATCCCAGCACTTGGGAGGCAGAGGCAGGCGGATCTCTGTGAGTTCAAGGCCAGCCTGGTCTAGTTCCAGGACAGCTGGGGCTACAGGGAGACCCTGTCTCAAAAAGACCAAAAAAAAAAAAGAGAGAAAAAAAAAGTATTTATTGAGCTGGAGAGATGGCTCAGTAGTTAAGAACACTGACTGTTCTTGTAGAGGATTCAGGTTTGAATCCCAGAACCCACATAGCAGCTAACAACTGTCCGTAACTCCAGTTCCAGGAGATCTGACAGCCTCTTCTCCTCCAAGGGCATTGTACGACATGGGTGCACTTACCTACATGCAGACATAACACTCATACACATAAAATAAAAACATTTAAAAGTAGTATTTATTGTAAGTCAGATGTAGTGGTACACGCCTGTAATCGCAGCACTCAGAAGACAGAGAGAGGATTGCCAGAAGTTGGAAGCCAACCTGGTGTACATACTGAGTACCAGGCCACTCAGGGATACACAATAAGATCCCTGTCTTAAAACAAAAAAATCCTCAAAGTTTTCTTCCATAAGATATTTGAAAAAAAAATACCAGCTACAGAAGGTCTTAGAATTAGATAAGCAAGCAAAGGAAAGATAAATCCTTACCAGCTTTTCTGCTTCTGTGTTCATTTCCCTTAATTTCTTAATATGTTCTTTTTTAATCATGAGAATTTTTGATAGTTTAGTCTATAAAGAAAAAAAATTAGAAATAAACAGAGACATTCGGGTATATCAAATTTCTAATTTTTCACTAAGATGCTTCAATAGAAATACAATATTTCAATATAAATACAGCAACACATTTTGTTTTCTATATTTGAATAGCATACAAGAAAATGTTATTTTAAAGTCAGCACAGTAGCACATAGATGCAATCTCAGCACTCGGGACACTAAAGCAGGAGGACTACAAGTTTGATGCCAGCTGAGACTATGAAGCCAAGTTCAAGGCCAACCTACAAAGTGAGACCCTGACTCAAAACAAATCTGAAGCGAGATGGCTCAGCAAGTAAAGGTGCTTGCCACCAAGCCTGACCACTTGAGTTTAATCCCCTGTACCACATTGTGGAAGGAGAGAACCAACTCCTTGAAAGCTGTCTTCTGACTTCCATATATTCACAGTGGTATATGTGTCCCACACCTCCAAATAAATGAATGTAACGAAATAGGCCCTGTCTCAAGGTAGAGGGGAGTAGGAAATAGTGGTAATAATATAAAATGCAGATGAGTTCTGCCACCTGCAGTGCCTTCTGGAGATGTGCACAGACACATGGCTACTTAAAGTTAATTAGGGCTGGTGTGATGGCTCAGCAGGTGTGATTAGTTTTTGTAAAATGAAAATCACCTGGGAAGAAGGAACCTCAATTATGGAATTTCCTCCATCAGGCTGGCCTGTGGGCATTTTTGGAGGTGAATTTTCTTGATTGCTAATTGATGTAGGAGGACCAGTCCAACTGTGAATAGTACCATCCCTGGGCAGGTGGGCCTGGGCTGTATAAGAGAGCAAGCTAGGGGAAACAAGCCAGTCAGCAGCATTTCTCTATGGTCTCTGTTTCAGTGCCTATCTCCAGGTTCCTGCCTTGGCCTTCCTTCATGATGGACTATGAGCAATATGCAAATAAACCCTTTTCTCCCAAGTTGCTTTTGGTCACAGTGTTTATCATAGCAACAGAGAAACCAACCTAGTACAGAAATTGGTACCAGGAATGAAGTACTGATATGACAGACCTGACCATGTTGTTTTGGGGAGGATTATGAAAGCCTTTAGAACTATGGGCTGAGGTGCTCAAAGCTTAATGAGCTATTTTGTGGAAGCCTGGAAGATAAGAATGTGAAGAGAGAAACAGATGATGGAGGCCTAGCTTGTGAAGTTTCAGAGGGAAGCAAAGACTCCATCAGGATTGTTTGTGTGATATTCTGTATTAAGAATCTGTGGAAGTGAAACCTGTGCTTCACTGGGATAATCAGTCTATGCTGGTCAGGTGGGGCTGAAAAATCAGCTGTGATTAACAAGAGACCAGCATTGCTGAGGTGAAATCTTTTGGGAAGTATTTCCTCAGGGTCAGCACACAAAGGCTGTGATCCAGAGGGGGCCAAGGCTATATCTTAAACTGGAAGCTAAATTTGGTAATTACAAGTACTAGTATTAATATGTGGTACTGGTCTTGGAATTCTGTACATGAAAGCTCCAGAATTCAAGGGGTCATGGAGAGAAGCTGAGGCTTGGTACCATGATAGGCCACTGGTGAAGGTGCACCTTCACATGCTGTGGAGACCCTAGGATATTGCAGATATCAAGACCATGGATATATCTGCCAAGGACAGCAAAAGGTCTGGAGTGGAACTGGTCCAAGCCTACAAGCCAAGCTGTGTGTTATGAATGACAGAGCCAGAGAAGTGGAAACCCAAGTCCTTCGGAGCCAGAAGTCCTAGATGTGAGACAATGAGCTACAAGATTTAGAGCTGGACTCTTGTTTTGCTTACGTGAGACTGAAATTTTGCCTTGAGTCTTCCCTAATGGAATAATAAAATATTTAATTTGTTTTTTATTTTATAAGAGCTATGGTTAGGAGACTTTGAATTTTTTTTTTGTCTTTTTGAGACAGGGTCTCCTTGTAGCTGTCCTGGAACTCACCATGTAGATCAGGCTGGCCTCGAACTCACAAAGATCTACCTGCCTCTGCCTCCCAAGTGCTGGGATTAAAGGTGTGCGCCACCACACCTGGCTTTGAATTTTTAAAAATATTTTATTATTTTCATTTTATGTGTATACATGTATGCCTGCATGTAGGTAAGTGCATCCATGTCCTTGGGGGACATGCCCTTGGAGGACAGAAGAGGTTGTCAGATCCCCTGGAACTGGAGTTATGGACAGCTGTTAGCTGCCATGTGGGTGCTGGGATTTGAACCCAGGTCTTCTGCAAGAACAGTGTTCTTAACTGCTGAGCCATCTCTCCAGCCCTAGGAGACTCTGAATTTTTAAAGAGATTTTTAGAAGTTAAGTCAGTAACTTTAAGACTGTGGGATTTTTAAAGTAGGTAAACATACTGCCACCAAGCCCGACTACCAGAGTTCAATCCCTGGAATCTTCAAGGTGGAAGGAGAGAACCAACTCCCCAAAGTTGTTCTGACTTCCACAAGTGCACCATGGCATGTGTGCACCCATCTACCCACCCCCCCAACATCTCAAATAAAATGTATTAATAAAAAATTAAAAATCTAGCCCAGTGTGCTAGTGCACACCTTTAGTCCCAGCACTCAGGAGGCAGAAGCAAGTGGATCTCTGAGATCAAGGCCAGCCTGGTTTACACAGTGAGTTCCAGGCTAGCTGGGGCTATAAGGAGATCCTGTCTCAAAAAGACCAAAAAATAAAAAAATTAAAAAAAAATCTAACTAGGACATATTAAAAAGGATTAAGGCATTAACCTGGAAAACTTAGGGGCAAAGTTCAGAGCCTTACCCCCATGCTATCTGTCCCACTGGCTCTCTGGACCAGTACTTGCCTACCCTAGGAGAGACCATGGGTCCTGCTCTAAAAATATGCCTATCTGGTTCCTCCAGTGTCTCCACCATAATGAAGGCAATTCAGCAGCAGCTCCAGTTGCTGAGCTCAACTGTGCAATGGTTTCCCAGGCAGCTGTACACTTGAAACAATTCTGTTTGTAGAACGCTCAACATGACCTCAGCTGACTGGAGTGGATTCACGTACGAATCACTTCAGACTCAACTCTATTCCTTTTTGCAGTCACATCTTTCGGGGGTTTCCAAACCACTTGTTCTGAACCACTAAGTGCCCAAGATAATTAAATATGAAGCATATACAAAAGCTTCCCTCTAACACATGTGCCATAATAAATAATGTTCTATCTTTGTCTTTTTGTTTTTGAGACAGGGTCTCCCTGAAGCCCCAGCTGGCCTGGAACTTGCTAGATCAGGGTGGTTTCACTCTCATGAGATCCACCTGCCTCTGCTTCCCAAGTGCTGGGATTAAAGGCATGTGCCACCATGCCCGGCTCAATCTTCTACTTTTGCAGTCCTTAACATCTACCTTGTTGTATTTTCATGAATTTCTACTTTACAAGGTTGAGTATTTTATACATGCTGAAGGCAGTATACAGTAAAATAGTAAAAACTTTTTAAAAAAGTCAACCTGAACCAGCTTTCACAGGTCAAAATGGAAAATTTGTAGACTAACAGGAATAAAAACTGCAAAGAAATGAAATACGAATACTCAAATCTGTAAGTTCACAGGTATACTTTAAAAAAAAGAAAAGAAAAGAAAATCAAGCATTATTACAGATTTAATCACCAAACTCATTATTTTGTACACTGGGAAGCAAAGAGAAAGCATCAAACATTTATCGTGTACCTCTAAATTACACCATTAAGCAACCAAATGAGAGATTAGGGAAAGTCCTTCATCCCTTACTCCTCCTCCCCTCTTTCAAGACATGGCCTTACTATGAAGGCTTGGCTGACCTGGAACCTTCTATATAAAGCAGGCTAGCATAAAACTTGTAGTGATCCTCTTGTCTCTGCTTCCTGAGTGCTGGGAGTTGTAGGCATGCACCAAACACCATGGCTGGTGATATTTTCCTTTATATAACTATATCAACTAACAAGCAAAAAAAGGAGGATAGAATGAAAAGAGCATCTTCCCAATCGTAATAAAGGAATGGCTCATCAATGACAGCTGACAGATGAAATGTCATGGACCTATCAGAAGAACACAAAACCATCTATAAAAATGTAGCATACAGGAGCTGTGGATGTAGATCAACTGGTAGAGTGACTGCCCAGCATGAATGGAGCCCTGGATTAGATGCCCAGCACTACATCAACCAGGCCTTGCAGCATTTGGGAAGAAGAGGCTGGAAGATTAGAAGTTCAAAGTTAAACCTGGCAAATTTGAGACAAACCAGGAATACATGAGGACCAAATCTCAAAATGAAAGAAAAAAAACGAGTACAAAATTCATATAAACACTCTGGGTTTGGTTCCCAGCACCCACATGGCACCACCACGCCTAGCTATATTATTTTCTTGTTAATAAACTCCAACTCCAACTCTGTTTCTTACTGGCTTGTCCTGAAATAATTTACCTCTGCAAAGAATCCAACAAAACAAAACAACCTGGTGTGGTGGTGGCACACGTCTTTAATTTAGCACTTTAAGTCACAGCTTAAGAGACGGTTCAGAGAGTAAAGTGCTTGCTGGATGAGCATGAGGACTGGAGTTCAGATCCCCAGCCCGAGCATCCATGAATTAATAAAAAGGCAGGAAGTGGAAAACAAAACAAACAACCAAAACAAAACCAAAGGGTGAGGACAGAAACAACTAACCAAAACTCTAGATCTCACTATCAATGTACAATAAAAACCTGAACACAGATGTTTAGAGCAGAATCAGAATTTATAATTGCCCAAACTTGGAAGCAATCATCTTTTAGTAGGTGAATGGATACATAAATGGTGGCATACCCATTCAAAGGAGTGTTAGTGCTAAAAGATGAGCTGTCAAACCATGAAAAGACACGGAAGAAAGTTAATTGCATACTCTACCCATCCTATTTCTTTCAGGCACAGTCATATTTCAGGAATTTCGCATACAATCCCAGCATTAAGTAGGTGGCATACATCCCAGATCCCTTAAGACTGAATTGTTAGAAACAGGGAGAGGGAGAGGAAGGGAAGGAGAGAGAGGGAGAGGGGAATGGTCACTGTGTTCCTGTGCTGGAACCCTGGTGGTAAAGCTCTGGCAGCCTTAAGATATTCTAGAGACACTTGTGCCCCTCCCTTTGCTTATCAAACTACTGGACCCCAAAGAATTAAAACTTCCCCAGGAATCAGCATGCTGGAGAAAGGGAAAAACTAAAAAGCCCTGTTACCACAGGGCCAGTCAGAGGAGGAAGAGATTTCATACATCTCTGAGAGCTTATCTCATAGTTAACATATGTATTTCCCCTGGCTTTTGTTTCATCTTTTCTATAAAACTAACACTGCTTCAGGAAAGGCAAAGAGAAGGTAAGATTCTTTCCCCTGATTTGTCCAAAGTATAAACTCATTTTCCTTTATCAATTTTTACTTTTCCTAGTTTCTTTAAAACACAGAGAAACTAGGTGGAGGGTTTATGATGTAAGTACAGTGCTGGATAGATGTTAACACAAAAGAGTTTAAGTTTTATTAATTTTCTATATTTTTTGAGACAGGGTCTCCCTGTAGCCCCAGCTGGCCTGGAACTTGCTACGTAGACCAGGATGGCCTTGGACTCACAAAGATTCACCTGCCTCTGCCTCTCAAGTGATGTGATTAAAGGTGTGAACCACCACACCGGGCCTTATTTTTTATGTGCATGAGTGTATTGCCTGCATGTATGTAAGTGCACCCATGTTATACAATGCCCACCATCGAGGTTAGAAGAAGGCGTCATATCCCCTGGAACTAGAGTTACAGACAGTATTTACCTGGAACTAGAGTTACAGACAGTATTTAGCTGCCATGTCGGTGCCTGGAATCAAATCTGGGTCCTCTGCAAGAACACCCAGTGCTCTTAACCACTGAGCCATCTCTCTAGGCCAACACAAAAAATTTTTAAGGCAGGAAAACTAATTCTGGTTTGTAATAGTTGATACATTTGTCCAAATCCTTAAAATGTTAATCCACGAGGGATCACACAGTAACCTACAGTCTTTGAGTGATGGTGATGTCAGTGTAGATTCACTGACTAGCAAATACCACTTCGGTGAAGGACATGATACACCTGTGAGGCAGGGAGCACAGGTGAAGTGTCTTATTGTCCTTTCAATTTTGCTATGAACCTAGGAAAATTAAGTGCACTAATACAAATATCAAACATATCAACACCAGAGAAGCTATCAATAAGCAGATGGTGTAGCAGTAGGCACCATGTGGCTCCCTTTGCTTACAATTCTCTCTGGGTATTTCCCTCAGAAAACAACTGTTCTGGGGCTGAAGAAATGGCTCAGTGGTTAAACAGAACACTGGCTCTTCTTGTAGAAGACCAGGGTTTGAATCCCAGCACCCACATGGCAGCTAACAACTGTTGGTAACTCCAGTTCCAAGGGATCCGACAGCCTCTTCTGTCTTCCAAGGGCATTGCACGACATGGGTGCACTTACTTACATGCCGGCAATACACGCATACACATTAAAAAAATAATTAAAAAAAAAAAAAAAACCTGTTCCAAGGGAAAAGTCTTGACTCTTCTCATATTTTCAGAAATCTATGCAATGACTTTTTAGACATACACAGGCGCCAAGGATCCAAGTGCAACTGATTATGACTAGTAATAATCAGATACATAAAGATTAGAGATGCATGCG